TGCCAGACGGCAGCAGACAGAACAGTTTGTGGCTGGGGGGATGGGGGTCTTTTATAATCCGGAGGGATTTCTTCCTGAGCCGCTGGGAGTATAGGTCCTCCATGGATGGCAGCTCCGTCCTGGTGATGTTCTGTGCAGTTTTCACCACCCTCTGTAAAGCCTTACGATTGAGGGCGGTGCAGCTGCCGTACCAGGCCGTGATGCAGCCAGTGAGGATACTCTCTATGGTGCACCTGTAGAAGGTCAGGATACTCTCTATGGTGCACCTGTAGAAGGTCAGGATCCTCTCTATGGTGCACCTGTAGAAGGTCAGGATACTCTCTATGGTGCACCTGTAGAAGTTGCAGAGTATCCTGGAGTCCATGTTGAACCTCCACAGCCTGCGGAGGAAGAAGAGCCGCTGTCGAACTTCTTTGGTGATGGTGGTAGTGTGAAGAGTCCATGTCAGGTCCTCAGGGATGTGGACCCCGAGGAACCTGAAGCTGCTGACTCTCTCCACCGTAGTAGTCCCATTGATGGCGATGGGGGCATGTCCCTCTCTCTGCTGCTTGCTGTAATCCACAATCAGCTCCTTTGTTTTGCTGACGTTGAGATGGAGGCTGTTATCCTCCAAGATGTCAGGTTTTCGACCTTCTCTCTGTACGCCGTCTCGTCGTTTGTGATCTGGCCGATGACGGTCGTGTCATCAGCAAACTTCACGATGGTGTTGGAGCTGTGTATGGCCACGCAGTCGTGAGTAAACAGGGAGTAGAGGAGAGGGCTGAGCACGCAGCCTTGAGGGGCTCCGGTGTTGAGGATCAGGGTGGAGGATGTGATGTTTCCCACACGCACTGCCAGTCACAGAGGGCGCTGTTGAGCCCGAGGTCTCTGAGCTTGATGGCCAGCTTGGAGGGCACAATGGTATTGAAGGCTGAACTGTAATCAATGAACAGCATTCTCACATATGTTTTCCTCTGGTCCAGGTGTGAGAGGGCAGTGTGGATGGTGAGGGCTATGGCGTCGTCTGTGAACCTGTTTGCTCTGTAGGCAAACTGCAGGGGGTCCAGAGAGTCAGGGAGGGAGGAGGTGATTAATTTTTTTGACTAACCGCTCAAAGCACTTCATTATGATGGAGGTGAGTGCTACTGGGCGGTAGTCGTTGAGGCTGGTGACCTTTCTCTTTTTGGGGACAGGAATGATGGTGGAGTGTTTTAAACATGTGGGGACTACAGACTGCAGCAGGGACCTGTTGAAGATGTCTGTGAACACCTCTGCCAGCTGAACTGCACACACCCTGAGAACACGGCCAGGGATGCCATCAGGTCCAGGAGCCTTGTGTGGGTTAACCCTTTTAAAGGATTTACACACATCTGCCCTGTTTAAAACAAAAGGGCAGGGCTCCTGATCCTTCTGTGCCTCCACAGCCTGGCTGCTCTCAAATCGTGCAAAAAAAACTGTTCAGCTCATCTGGGAGAGATGCGCACGCAGACACTGCACCCCCCGCTATTTCTATTAGGTACACCTGAATACATCATCTGTTGTGTAATTGTTGTAAATAGCATATAATGTCACTAAAACATCCAGGAGACCAAGCTCAATAACTGACACAAATTAAGAAATACAAATCTTCCACCTCCTGGGCCAGACATGACTACTAATTCACTTCTCCTCTCTCTACTCTTGTCCCATGACTGACTGCTTTAATTAAACCCTGATTGGAGCTGGGAAGATGGTAGTGTTGTAATAGGATTGCGAGCTTTGGTTCAGAGTATCATGGACCTCTGCGATGACGCGGAGGCATTGGACAGGGACCAGCCGAGGCCAAGGGTGACTTAATCAGCAAACCGACAAATCTGAGCATTACGAAACTCACTCAAGAAGATGATTGTGATAAAATGAAGGGGTATAGGTATGCAAACATCAAAACGAGCAATCCAATTAACGGAGTGCAAAAAAACACACCGTCCCATTGTTGCTCGTCCGCACCAGTGAGCCATTTCACCGATCTATGAACTCGGCCAATTATATTAAACTGAGATGGTGATATTTCAACAAAAATCAACGATAGAATACAACATTTGCAGAACAAACAACCTTAACATGATGTGAGTTGCTACATTACTTTGTGCATCAATACAACAAGTTAACCACTAGCAATTCAGCGGGGTTAAACTGACAGTTGGCATGACACATCATTATTAGATCCACACAGCTGGGCACTTGTTTAACCTCAGATTACAGAACCACAAGGGAACAGTTGTACTTAACCTTTAAGCTGATTTTTAAGAACTAATGGTTATCCACTACTTATCGCTGCGAGGGTCAAAGCTAAAGACTTCTTGTTGTATTGTCTAATGCTGAAGTTTCACAGTATTAGGGCACTATCTAAATATATATGTGTATGTATAATACAACTTCTCACTTTAAATGAAACACTCTTGTTTGATCGGTAAAAGTGAAGACCACATTCATGTTATTAGAATCTCCATTTTTACAACTTGTGAGTCTTAACACCTCAGGCATAGACTCAAGATGATTGTAGAGTTGCTCATATAAGGATTAAAAATATAAAATATATTTGCATAGAGCATTATGAACTGTACAATTGTGTTTGATTACTTTGAATGTTTACATATTATCAAAGTCAGACATCTAAAATCCTTTATAAATGGTTGACCATTCTCAATTTTGATTGATACTACATAATTGTAGAAATGGGTAGCTAGAAATTCCAGTGATCCTGATAATACATAAATCATAAATGCAGAATAAGCACTGGTCAATTCTAACTGACGATTTATTTTACCTTAAATGTGTTGGATATTTAAGAAACCCCTATACCTTCATTCCAAATGGTCACAAGTGAATTGACAGTTCGGGAACGTCTTGTACGGTACCACTTCCTGCTATCAACATTGATTTCCTTTCCCAATCCAGTATGCTAAAATAAGTAACATACAGTGTGTGTACAGTACATATACTGTAGTACTTAGTTTAGCCCTTAATGCCACATTGGGCAGCCTGCCTCACCTGGATGCACTCCAGCTTCTTCAGACAACAAAGTGGCCTAACAACTGATCCTGATTAGCAGGTAGGACAAATAATTGATGCCCCATTACAAGTTAATCATTTCAGAGCTGACCATTTGACCTGATGTCTGGTCCTTCGACATAAAGAAATTACATGTCGCCCAAAGACAAACTCTGTTGGATGATCAAAAAAACATGGTCATATATATTAGTGATACTCCAGCAAGTCTTGCATCTCGTCTGTGTCCTTAAACAGAACTCGAACAGTCTATTATTACCGTTAAATGTATGCAGCTCTTAATCTTTTAATCCATCCATGATTTTAATCTTAATCCATGTCTATTTTGCTAAAATATAACCATATTTCTAATGTAGTGCCATTGATCACGGAAGGTATTTTTTGTTTTCCTTTTATACATAAAATTAAAGTTATTGGCTTTAATCGTGATCATGACATTAAACAAAGCTCATTATAAAACGGACAAGTCAAATCAAGCAATCTGATTGGTTCTTAGCCGTGATATACTGAGCGTATACCACGGGTAGAATTGTAAATTACTTTTCACAACAAGTCAGTATCCCTCCGCGTCTGAGAAAAACAGTATTTCATACTGGAACAAGAAAGCAGCGGAGAAGTAACTGGGCAGAAGCTGGGCAGAAGCCCTCCTTTTTGACGCAGCGGTCCAGACATAGACATCAAACGGCAAAACATATTCAGTGTGCAGTTCCTTTGGCATTAGGGCAGGGATATCTAGATACTTTTGAAGGTTTAGCATAATTAATTGTGCTACTTTTAAAGCAAGCAACGATGTCTTCAAATCTGTAATCAAAGAGGTCCGCAAAAACGCTATTGACCAATCAGATTGCTTGATTTGACTTGTCAGTTTTATAAATATATTTAAATTTCTTCCGTTACGAAACAAACTTACAAAGCATAAAATGGAAACATTTAAGATTAATTTCGACCTCCGGGGGGGGTCTTACTATCTATGGAGGAGTGGATTGAGCAGTGCCTATCTCCAGAAAAAAAAAGCACCTAAACTACGACATGCAGAGCTACGTGAAGAGCAGGTAGACCAACTGGAAAAGTAGCACCATTCAAAAACTTTCTGATGCGGGTCTTGAAACAAAGCAGAGAAATTATGACCGTTAGTGGC